GGGGTGCTTCCCGGGGCCAGGACTGCAGAAGCAGCAGGCACCGGCCCTCGCCTGCCCGGCCAGGCGGCCTGTTTTCTTGCAGACAGGGACAACGAGGCCCAGAGGGGCGGAGGAGCTGCCCGAGGGACTGGGAAGCAGAGCTCGGTGGAGTGGAGTCCCGCCGGGCACCGTGCCGCCCAGAGGGCTGACCGCAGGGGCCGCCCAGGACCAGGCAGCTCCGTTCAGGAGCCGCGGGGCCCAGTGTCCAGGAGAGCAGAGTCCGGCTCTAAATTCTGCCCCACGTCACCAGGACCTGGGTGGCCAGAGAGCACACAGACCTCCTTCCCGGCCTCCCTGGCCCCCTGCTGAGGAGGCTCTGACCTCCCTAGTGTCGGGCCCTGGCCATGAGAAGCTCGCTGGGAGGGGACAGCGACACCCCACGGGCCCTGAACCCTGCCGCCAGACCCGTGGGCAGGTCTGTACTGGCTGTGCGCTGGGGCCAGGCCAGCCCTGCCCTGCGCCAGGCCTGCCTCTGCCTGGTGGAAAGGACAGGTCCAGCTGAGCGGCCCCAGGCCTGGCCACACACGAGCCTGAGAAGCAGCAGGTGCTCGGGCTCGGCCCGCTGAGCTCGCTGGCACAGCGAGGGTGCCGCTCCCGGTGGCCTCTGGCCCGGCCACGCCTTTGGCGGGACATCCTTTGAAAAGTGACTGAGAGCTGGGCCCCTCCCAGGGCCTGCCTCCGGGACCCCAAAGCCGCTGTGGGGGCTGGCTGCGGGGCGCCCGTGCAGGGAGGCCCCCAGCAGCCGTGTGACCTTGAGCAGACCCGTGACCTCTGGGGCCGGTGCCCTCGCCTCCCAGCTGGGAGGGGCTGGGGGCGCCACGCGTCCCAGGAGCGGAGCGTGAGGTGCGGGCCGAGTCCCCTGCGCACCTCCTGGAGGAGGGGCACACTCTGTCCCCCAGCCGCGCAGGCACCGCCCCGGGGAGAGTGAGTTTGCTTCCTTCTGAGGGCCGCGGCCACAGGGCAGGCAGCGGCCGCAGGCCTGGGCAGAGAAGGGGTCCGGTCCCAGGTCCGAACCAGGCCGCTGTGGCCTGGCAGCTTCCTGCCGGAGTCGGCTGGGGGTCACCCAACTGCCTCCTGGGGGCCCTGCCGCGCCTCCCCGGGCCCACGCAAGGTGCGGCCCCGCCCCACCCTCCGCAGCCCCCCGCGAGCCCCAGCCACCGAGGCGGGCGCGGCCGGCCGGCCGAGGCCCAGCGCCTTTCCCCTGGTTCTGGGAGCCGTGTTGCCATCCCCCGCCTCCCTGTGAGGGCTGTGCAGGTGCTGGCCTCCAGGGCCTTGGGGCCGCTTCAGGAAGTTTCCAGCAGCCAATGCAAACGAAGGCCACCCCCTGTTCTCCAGCAGCAGGAGCAGGCTCAGAGCTGAACGGCCTGCAGCCAGAGGCTGCTCCCGAGACTTAATCCTCGCTTTCTGAGTCACCACTGCTCAGCCTTTGGCAAGTGGAGAGCAGTCTGGGGTCCAAGAAGGGGTGTCTCGTGTGCCTGCTTGGGAAGAACTTGGCTGGAAACCAGAGCTGGGTGGAAGGGAGCCCGGGGGCCGGAAGCCAGAACTCAGCCCAGCCAGGCCCGCGGTGGGCCGCCGGTGGACAGCCGGGTGCCCGGCACAGCCGGCTGGGCTCCTGGACTCAAGCCGGGCCTGTGCGGGCGGCGGGATCACACACAGCAGGCCAGGGCCAGCGGCGGCGAGCGGCCCGGGCGCCCTTGGCTGGGGGGCTGAGGCCGCCCTGAGAGCGCCCGGCCGGCTGGAAGAGGGACAGGCCACCCTCCGGCACGCCGAGGGCGGCGGCCCGGCTCACCCGGTCGCACGCAGTCGCCTCTGTGCAGACCCGGGTGCCGCCTGGAGAGCCAGGCCCCTGACCTCACCCCGCCCCCTCCGGAGTCCTGGCTGTCCTGCCCCCGCCGTCCCCTCCCGAGGTCCCCGCTGACCCCTCCCCTCCCAGCCTGACTCCGCCGGAGCCCTGAAGCTCCGCTCATCTTAGCCGACCTTCAGGAGCCCGGCGACTCTCTAGTCGTGTCTCTCCAGAAAAGTGCGGGCAAACCGGGGGTGTCCGCCTGGGGTTCCACCCCTGGCTGTCCTCGGGTTCCAGGGACTGTGGCTGAAGAGCCCGCAAGGAAGCCTGGCTCTTCACACGAAGGCGACCGAGGCCTCAGGCCCGGCCCGGTCTGCAGGCTGCAGCTTTGCCTCGTGGCGACGAGCCGGGGATCCAGGTGCCCGCCCCAGCCCTGTACCCGGGGCCCTCTGCTGGGGTGCTCAACACCCCCCGCCCCGTCGTCCCGCCCTGGGCCCAGTGGCCGAGAGACACCTCCCTGGTCCCTGGCCCCTGGCCCTCCGCACGGTGCTCGGGACGCCTCCCTGTGGCCCAGCCCCCTGGTCACCGCCCAGCTGGGTTCCAGCAGGCTCCCGCTGGCCAGGTCAGGAGCATGGTTCCACGTCCCCTCCATGCCCCGGTGGTGGGCGCCGAGTGGGCTTGGGGGGGGGGTGTAGGGTCTGTGTGGTCAGAGCGCTCTGGGTGGTTCCGTCCCTGCGCCTGCCCCACCGGGGCTCAGGCCTGAGGCGGACGGGAAGGTGTCGCTGTCCCTCTGCCCCCGGGGCCAGGGCAGGGCCGGCCAAGCCAGCAAGTAGGGGAGCAGCCCCTGGTCGGTTCAGTAGCGACTCCTCGTCCTCTCTGCAGTGGGAAGCCCACGGCTGGTGGAGGGAGCCGGGTTCTGCTGCGTTAGCGGTGGGGAGCGACCCGCTCCGCAGGGCACTTCTAGGAAACGGCTGCGCCGGGCAGCGGGTGCCCAGAGCTTACGGGTCCCGCACAACTCAAACTCGGGGTCCTCGCCCTCACCCCATCACTCCCGGCTCCTAGAAGCCCCGTGGTGGCCCAGCCCAGGGGCGCACACAGCTGCCCTTCTGTGCCACGCCCACGCTGGCGGCCTCCTGGCCTCCGGCCATCCCGGTGGCCCGCGTCACCCGCGATGGCGCCTCCTTTTTCGGGCCTGAGTAGTATTCCACCATCGAGACAGTGACTAACGGCAAGCGTCCCTGTGTCGTTCTGCGGTTTCCTCGCGGTCGCCCGCAGCGGGTACCGACGCGCACCCCGGGCACAAACCCCCGGGCGAGACAGCGGGAAGCGGCTCAGGACCGTGCCCCACGGCCCCTCAACCCAGCCACCCCAGCAAGCGCGGGCGGAGGCCGTGACGGCCGCCGATGGGCTGCCGCGGGCCGGGCGTGCGGTCTGGGTCCTCAGGCTCCCGCTGCGGGGGACAGAGAGGCATTCTGGGCCTCCCTAGTGGCTCACGGCGATCCGGTCCCAGCGCACGGGGTCCCTGCCTCTGACACATGTACCTGTCTCCACGGGCCCGTGTCCCGCCGGCCTCCCCGGGGCCACTGGGCCATCCAGTCTGAGGCCAGCGGGGCTGGCACCCCCAGCCTGCACCCCGACTGCCCCCGACTGGCTCTGGCCACGGCCTGCAGGGCCTCCAGCTGTCCACTCCCCAGCTCTCCACTCAGCCACGCCACTGCCTGCTGTCAGCGGTGCTCCTGGCCCCCACCGGGGTTCAGGGCCCTCTGGGCCCCCCACCCCGCCCTCACTCAGGTGTCCTGCCTCCCCGGGGTGCCCGCTCTGCTGTCTCGGTCCCACCCAGCCAGGGCCCAGCTCCTGTTCCACCCTCCGTCAGTCCCCAACCGGACAGTCCTCCTCCTCTGACTCCGTCATGGATGAGGGCAGCCACTTTGGGTTTCTCTGGGGCACTCTGAGGGCAGAGGTGCCGCTTCCTGGTAACAGGGCCAGAAGCTAACGGTCTACAGTTAGTAAGAGGCAGTAACAGCTGGGCAGAGTAAGCCTGGGAGGATGGGAGCATGGGTGCATGGACGGACGGATGGACACATGGACGGATGGGCCGACGGATGGACGGATGGACGGGTGGGTGTATGGGATGGGAGCGTGGGCGGATGGAAGGATGGCTGGACAGATGGACGTATGGATGGATGCACGGGTGGACAGACAGATGGACGGACGGACGGAAAGAAGGAAAGGCGGAAGAGAAGGGAGCTAGCGGGCGAAGCACAGGCAGGGAAGGGCCCGCCGGGTCAAGGCACAGGCGAGTGTCTGCCTGGAGCGCTCTGAGCTCCTGGGCGCCGCGCGGCGCTCAGGGATGCGCCGGGGAGACGGCAGCCG